GGCAGCCGGGTTCACACGGGGCCTGCCGGGGCCGCCGGCTCCGCAGTCAAACCCGACCGCGGGGCAGAGGCAGAAACAACAGGCAAGGCACCCCTCGATGAGAGAGATGTGCCTCCCCTGCCCCGGGGCAGATCCCTCCTTCCCCCTGCCCCCGGCTAAAATACCCACCCTTTCGGGGCTCCGGCAGAGAAGTGGGGGGAATCACCCCCCCATCCCTTCTCCCCGCCCCCACAACAATCTTTTAGGGTTTGTTTGTTTTTTTACCCATTTCCCTCCCATGCTCCACCAAAGTGGGGGGCTGGGGGGGGGAACCCCCTCTCTCTGTGTCCTGAGGAAGCCCCCTAAAACTCTAGGCAGCATCCCACCCTCTCCCCTTCCCAGAGAGGCGCCGGGTGCTCCCTACTCACCATTTGCTTTTCATTGGTAAAAGTGAGTGGAGCCATTTTGTGGCCTATTCATTGCTGCTATATTTGTAATAAGTGTTGGGTGGCTTCACGGGAGAAGGATCTAATTCCACATCACGTCCAGTTTCCTATTTAGTATGGAGAGCGGAACACTAGAGCAATGTGGCCAAGTGAGATAAGGCCCTAGCAATGGCCCGCCTGCCCCGATAAGCCTCTAAACCCATTATTTATGAAATGATTCATTATTATTTGGCAATTTTATCGAAGGAAAGCGGAAAATTATTGCAGGGATATGCATAGGAATAACTCTGGAATGCATGCCTTATAGCTTTTTATGTGTGTGTGCTTAGATGCTCTTAAAAAAGCCACTGCAGAAAAGAGTAATAAAAAATGCACCGTGACTGTCCACAATTTGAATAGCGATTCTTTTATTTTAGTCCTCTTGGAGGGATATTATGCCCCTGCATTTCTTTCTTTCTTCCTTTTTTCTTTTTTATTAAATATGGAACACCTACTCAGTTCTTAATTAAATTTAATGAGCCAAAATAAATTGCTGAGAGAGATGGAGAGATGGGAGAGGGGGTGGGGAAGAGAGGGGTCCTGGGACAACTGGGTAAATCAAGCAAATGAAGAGTGGACATTAACGAAAAGGGGTGGCCCTCCCTGTGCTCGGGGAAAATCTCCCGTGTCAGCTTCACCCGAGACTCCGATCACTGCTCCGTGGGTCCGCACCCGGGTGGTGTCTCCCACCCCCTGGGGTGCATTTCTTTTGGGAGGAAGGCAGCAAGCAGCCGGAGCTGCCCCAAGAGCCAGGGGGGCGATGTAAAAATAAACCCACGAGCCGCCCGGATCTGAAAGCCGCGTGCACACACGTCCAGGGCGTGCACACACGTTTCTTTTCCCACCCCCGCCTTTGTTTTCGACGCGCACCCGTCTTCACCTGGCTCGACCCGGCAAAGGCTGCACCTGTTCGTTGCCCCGGACCCGAAGGGGCGGCGGCGCCCGTGTGCACGCGCACAAACGTGTCCCTGCCTCGAAGTCGGTGTGCCCGCAGCCTGGGGCAAGGGGAGGAAGCCGCTCGGCAGACGCCGACACGAGCTAGGGCGCATCAGGGACACCAGCCCCCCCAAACCCGTGTGAGCAAACCAGCAGATCAAACAAAGGGGAGCCTGAAAGGCTGCACCAGGTGAAGCCGGCAATGCCATCGAGGCTTGTGAGCCGAGCGGTGTTGGCCCCAGGTGGGGGCATTTGCTTACAGTTGCACCCCCCCCAGTATACACGCACCAAGCTTTTCGTGCTTGGGATGTCGTTAAAATCCCTTTACGTAGCTTTTGGTGTGTACATATATATGCATAAATGGTGTATACATGCATAGTATATATGGGGTGTGTGTATGTGTGCGCCTCTCCCACTTCCCTACACATGCACACACACACACACACACACACACACACACACACACACACACACACACACACACACACACATACATCCGCATGAATTGGGAGGGGGGGAGATGTGTGCACGCATACATATATATAGGGTGTTTGTACCCGAAAGCTTGCGAAGTGTATGCTATAGTATATTTGTGGGGGTGTATACACACGACATCTACTACACCTAAACGCATGAATGGTGTGGATGTGTTTGTGTGTGTTCACACACACCTAGCAGTCTGTCTTTCCTTCTGTATCGGCGTGAATGGTGTGCGAAGGTGACGCACCCATTATGCACGCGCGCGCACACGCACACACGACATTTAAAGGCATTGTAACGACCCCCCAAACACCGAGTGCCAGAAACACGGTGCTGGTGAGACACGACCACCTCCTCGCTTCCCCCATCAGGGCCCCTCGGCCCACGCGGGTTTTGTCTCCTGGGGAAAGACGCGAGCTGGGGCTCGTGCAAGGACGGTGCTGCTAGCTCCCGTCACTGGTTGCTTTTGTCCCCCCCCTTATTCCTCAGGACCCGGCCCCCCGGCTCATGACGGGCTGGGAGCCCGGGAGCTTGCACCCCGGCGAGGGATGCACCAGGTCCCGCTTGGGCGGCAGAGGGGAAGGACGGGCAGAGCCGGCGCGGGGGGGAGGCTCCCCAAAAGCAGCTGGGGGAGAGGGAGGCTGTGAGCGGGCACCAGAGGGCTGGGATCAGCAGGAGGCCGCGTGCATCTGTGCCCTGGCCTTAGGGATTTAGGCGCGCAGCCTGGGAACCGCGACAGTCAATGCTGAGAGGGGAAACGGGTGGTGCAAAACCAAGGCAGGTCACTGTCCCTTTCCAGCCTCCACTCTCTGCCCAGGGGGACACAGGAGACCCAGGGCCCTGGCACGCGGCAGCCACGGCCCCCAGATGTCCCAGCCCCCCTTCACCCATTTCCTGCCCGGCGGGCAGAAGCAGCTCTCGCCCGGCTGCGTGTGTCGGGGGGTGGGAGAGGCAGGCAGGCAGTCACGACCCGGCTGCACCTCCAGCCAGGAAACACGACCGTGTTCAGCTCAGTTCCTCTGCCCCGCAGGAAGTGTTAAAGATAGAGAAGAGGGGGCTGGGGGGTGGGGGGGGGGGGGAGATTAG